TCAGAGGCAGCTGAATTAAGTGAATTGCGCAAATATTAGTCTTTGAGAAATGACTACATATTTGTGCCATTTGCTGTAGAGACTATCGATCCGTGGGGTCCAAGTGCAGTGAAGTTCCTAAAGGCACTGTATCTACGACTGGTCATCGCTGCTAGTAATTAGAGGGCTAGTTCTTTTCTCGCTCAAAGGCTAAGTATAGCTATTCAGCGATTAAACGCAGACAGCGTTTTTGGCACGATACCACGGACAGCAGGACTTTATCACAATTTAAATTTTTAGTTTTAATTTTTCTATATTACAGTTTTTTTATATTGTGTGCATGGACATTAATTTTAAATATTGTAGTATAAGGAATTCAGTAAAGATATTCTAATTTGACTTAAATATTCTTTTATATTTGACATTCCAATTTTAAAGAGAAGATATTGCATTGCACCCAGGTTCACTGACCTCCATATACACAGCGTACTTGTATATATAGAGGTCAGTGACCCAGGTTATATGTGAGTTCAACGTTTTAAGCAGTTTCAGTATATGTAAAGGTACTCTGTGGTTTTAAGTTTTCAAACTAGTGTCAAAATAAAATGTAATTAAATCAAAAGCACTAAGGAGTATTGATATCAACTTTGATTCAAATCACCCCCAAAATTACTTTCTACCCCTTTTTAACCCCGTTAGGCGATGAGCTTCAATAAAATACGAAACAGGTCTACCATCAATTATTTTAAAGAACGTTCATGCAAAATTTAAAGTAGATTGGACCAAGTAATCACGTTGTGGATAATATTTCAGAAAATCCTTTCTTAACGGTGACCTGCGTCATTCAAAGAACACATTCTCCAAGTTTCAGGTCTCCACGATAAGCGGTTTAGGTGTTGATCCGTCCGTCAATCATTCAGGACAAAGCATTTTACATAGATAAGCGATGGTCAATAGCGTCGAAAGTGCGAAACTTGTAGCATCATCTTAGTCCTCGGGCGTGACAACGTATCTGTATTTTGATTCCTAATGGACTATAGATGAAGATGCCTACGGGGCTTAGTATCTACTTACCATCACCCGAATTATGTTCTTGTTGGTTACACTTAATCTATAAAATAATATTAGCTAAATTAAGAGTGAATTTAGTGTTAAAAGAAATCAACTAAGTAGCAGAGACTGCGAGATTTATAATCTGCGGCTGTTGCTAGTACTGGATTATAATAAGTAAAAAAGGTAATCACCACACTGGGCGGGCGGTTTGGTGAGCAGCACCTTCACAATAGGTTACGCTGCTGCCCATCACCAGTTTAATTCATTGGAGTTCGGCATTTATGAATGAATGTATCTCGATTGGTCGAGCTTTGCTCCTCAATTAACAGGATGAATCACAAGATCTCCGCAAGCACCATAGAAATTGTTAATTGCTATTTTTAGCGCTGATTTACCAAGTACTCAGCGGTTTTTTATCTATACCGTTAAGTGCCTTATCAGAAACAGTATTTAACCGTATTGAAATGACTGACACGCGCATTGGTAAAGCAGGTATCTTTGCCAATACTCTTACTTGCCAATGCAGAAGTAATAAAACCACATACAACTACCGTTTGTTACAGCCGATCTCTCCACTACCGAACTAACCTTTCCCACAAATTGCTTCATTTGCTATAGTTGCCACGCTTGGCAAGCGGGTTGGCAACCGCAGTTTTTTTAATTGTAGTCGTTATTAGGAAGACGCTACTGCCCATCTCCTGGTTTGTTTTCCTCTGTCACCTCTAACGACACCCAGGGGATAAAGAGGTAGTGGATATTCCGGCACCAGTACACGATATATACATACAAGTGGCTAATAAAGATTTATTTACATTAAAATTTTTTTATGGTCAAGTTTACCATACGTGGTAAAGCTATGTTGCAGCTATATTATGTTTGTAGCACGAATGGGTCGGCTCGCCCGGGTAAGGACCACGCTTCGCACAGAATACCAGCGTAAAGTAACAGCTTTATGTTGCTGTGTTTCGTATGGTGAATGTAGACAACCAAAGACACTTTTTACTGGATACGAGGCATTCCATCTTAGTCCTCAGGGGTAGCAACGCATTCTGCATATTGTTTGTTATTCGAGAATAGATGTAGACATCTATGAGCCACAGCATCCACTTACCATCAGGTGGGCTGTGTGCTCGCTTGTCACCCTTATTCTATAAAAAATATTTTTATACATTTGAATACTAATTCTGATAACGAACTTAACGGGAACCGCAAGGTTTTTTTCTATGTTGTATTAGCCAGGGCTCGACTTCAATCTCACCTGGAAGGTGAAGGAAAATATTACGCCTGTCTGGAGAAAATATTTACATGTGAAGTACTAACCCTGTAGTACCGGTGTAAGAATATCCACTTTTCCATATCGTCCCAAGGATATTGTAAGAGGCGACAGAGGTAAAATGAAACAGATAAGCAGCACCATCCTCCTGATAACAACTTAAAACATTATTACGAGCTTAGGCTTCGTGACAATAAAAACTGCCGATTGAATTACCAAAATTGACACTTTAATTACCGACAGCAATTTAAACTTAAAACACACTAATAATTTATCACACTTAACATTTTAGTGCACTTTATTTCGCTCCGAAGTCTTCGCATATGTCACCAATTCAATACTGCCCCGGTCGCAGCCCTAAACGGCTTTATACGAGGGCGGCACTGAAAATTTCGGGAATCAAGGAAGTGACACAACATTACTATTTAAAAATGTATTTATTGCTTTTCGAAGTATTCTCCGCGAAATTTGACACATTTTTCCATACGATGGAACCAATCATTGAAGCAACCATTCCATTCGGAAGTTGGGGTCTCCAAAATGGCCATTTTCTAGGCATCCACAGCTTCTCCCGTGATGAAAATCTCTGTCCACGCAATTTATTCTTTATTTTAGGGAAAGTATAGAAATCATTATGGTTTAGGTGGGGGCTGTACGGTGGATGGTCTAATAATTCTATGTTTTCTTGCTCTAAAAACTCTTTTGTTCTGTGTGCGGTGTGAGAACTCGCATTGTCGTGATGGAGGATGATGCGGCGGTTGCAGTTCTCTTTACGGAGTTCAGAAACGACCTGTGGCAAACAAATGCTAGCATACCATTCTGCATTAACCGTTCTTTGTCCCTCAAGAGGAATAGTCGTAACATGGCCGGTTTTGGAGACAAACGTGGCCACCATTTTTTTTTGCAACACTCCGTGAACGAACAATTTTTGTTGGCTTTAACTCATTTTCGAACACCCAAACTCGTGACTGGTTTTTTGTTTCGGTTTCGTACGCGTATATCCAGGATTCGTCACCTGATACGATGTTGTATACAGCATTTGAGGATCATGTGTGGAATCTTTCGAGAGTTCTGACGTAGAGTTCTGACGAGTATCCATCGGGAAAACAACTTTTTTACACCTAACTGTTCATGCAAGATTATTTTATTTGACTCATGCCAATGTCTAAAGTTGCTTGAATATCGCGGTATGTCACATGTCGATCTTCCTCAATCAGCTTACGCACAACATCATGTTTTCTTGGGTGACTGCAGTTTTTGGACGACCTTGACGGGGATCATCATTGAGCTTGACACGTCCACGTTGAAATTCAGCAAACCAGCGATAAATTGTGGTTTTGGATGGGGCTTCATCACCAAATGCAAAAATCATCCGGTCAACACACTGTTTTTGTGTTAAACCACTTCGAAAGTCATAATAAATCATCGCTCTTGAATTTTCTCTAGTCAATTCCATTTTCTCAACGACTAAACAAGTTTGACAAAACCTTGTGATAAGACCGAGAATCTTTTTTTTAAATGAATAAATGGTATTCGATTTTTAAAACCAATTTTCAATTAGTTTTCAATTAAAAAGATTTTAATATGGCAGGAACAGTGGAAATATTCCATTCCCGATACTTTTAGTGCAGCCTAGTATAGGCCTTTTCCACCGAAACATCTAGAACGTTCCTGCAAATATAGTCCCGACCGACTTGGTGTAGAGAATTTGAGTGTCGATTTTTCTAGGAAGCTTATTTCTTCTATTCGATACTAGATGATGCTAGTGGGAGAGTTCTAGAAAGATCTTGACGCTCCTACATATATTTCTGCTTCTTGATACCAGATGGTGCTAATAATCACCCGCCATATACCGGGCATTAATTGTGGCGCCCAACAATATAAAAAAATTGCGTTTTACCAACCCACTAGCCAAGCATGGCAACTATGGCAAAATCCCCCAATTAGGTAATCTATGGGGGAAACCTATGTTCAGCAGTGGCCTTTTATGGGATGTAGTAGGTGGATGGACGGAATGGACGTGAAGTATGCCATCACGTAACTAAAGCAGCGTGGTGGCTAATCGCTTTACCCTCTAAGAAATGGGAAGAGGTCTGTGAGCTGTGTACGAAACTTTACTTAATAATATGCGCCTGTGAGGTTTTGGGCTGGATTTTATTCGATTTGCCGAATTCACTTTCTGGCGCAGGCTTTTTTATATGACGAAGTATGTCCAAGCATAGATACCACTCTAAGACACTTCTACTTCATTCCGTAAAAACATAAAGAACACACAGTTAAGGGCGTCCTTTAAAACAATCCTCCCTCTGGTTCTCCTGTAAATATTTTCTTTACGCTCGTACGATTAGGTATTCAATGCGCTTTTTATATTTGTCAACTTTTCCGTGTAGTGGCGACGTAAGAGAATCCACTACGCCATATTCCTTGTGACCAATTTCTCACTAAATCTATGATCTAAAATTCAGGACACCTTTGGGGAGGACTCTAACTTGAAAGACTCGGATATAAAATAACAGTATCATTAATATGTAATTTTTATTCTACCAGTTATCAACAAAAAAATTAAATAACAAAAAAAACTAAAAACAAATGCTTAGAAACAATATCACGTCTAAAATTAATGTAAATGTTATATTTTAAATTACTCATGTTAAATCACACAAGAAACAAAAAGTATTCGGTTAATGTCAAATGGTCAGGATGTGGCAGTTTTCATGACGTTCGTTTCGAGAGCCGCTTTTACGGCACCTGCAATTGAAAACAAAAATTGAAAACGAAATTTAAATACAGGGCGGCTTAACATCTTCCGTCATCAGCCGAAGACAAGCATCTAATCCAAAATTTTCCTGAGAAATATTGGCACGGCCGGTGTATAAAGCATCTTCAGTGCTTTCGTCTGCATAGTGATGAGTGTAACTCTTTGCAACAAAACAGCGTTGGTGATAGTACGCAACCTTATGGAACATCAGACTTAATGGGCTTGTAACCGGAGCATTCACCATCTACTGCGACCTTGATGTTCCAATCTGCAAGAAAACTGGTGATCCAATTGAACTATTTCTCGGGAAGCCCATAGGAAGGAAGCTTCGAAAAGCAGCGCATTGTGTCAAACCCGGTCGAAGGCCTTCGCTATTTCCAAACCAACTGCTAACGCCTCCCCCTTCTGCCTCCGCCCATCTATAAGTTAGGTAATCCAGATGATCACCAGCTGAGCGACCCCAATGGGAACCATACTGGCGGTCACTGATCATCTGGTGATCCTCAAGCTACCTCATGAGCTGGCAATTAATAATTGTTACCATTACATTGGAGAATAAGGAGGTGATAGCGATAGGCATATAGTTGGACTAATCTGAGCAGTCGCCATTTTTAGGAATCGAGTGAGGACGCGTTAAAACCGGTGCTAACTCCGGAGCACACGTCTTCAGCACAATAGGAGGGACGCCATCAGGCCCACTCGACTTGTTGACGTCCAGGGAGAGAAGTGCTCAGCGCACCCAGCACTGTGTAAACAGTACAACCTACATGAAGCAGTCATACTGCGGGATGGTCGGTTGGCTTTGTCCTTTGTAGCATGGGCCAGTGAGTCATCGTCTCTGTGCAGAGTTGGGTGATATAGTTGACAGAAGTTCCCGAAGGAAGTCGAAATGGTTTTCCGCCAATTCTGCCGATATGCTCTGACTTTGCCTTGGCAATGACACTTTTGAAGGACCTTGAGGTAGAATTATACATATTTTTTTACTTGATTGAATCTCTTACGCCTACCCACTAAGAATAGTAACAGCAGCTAGTAACACCCAGCCATTTAAAATAATCCCCTAATAATAAAAATGTGGCGGCGCTGTCGTCGCGCCGCAAGCGAACCACACCGAAGCCTAAATCACGCTATCAAATTTCCGAATCATAAACAGTATATATAGAACATCTCCGAACTATCACACGGAGTGTTGGCCGCTCCCCTGGGCAAAACACCTTGCACGGCGGGAGATCTCCCATTTTCCTTCCTCGGCCACAGTGGTGACCACCCGACGTGATATGAACACGCAACCAACAACCTTCGGAAACTTCAAGCTTCATCATCGTCATAGAATACCCCACCCTTTCGCTCCCGAGCAGATATCGTCTGCAGTCTTCATATCCTGCAAGCCATCTAGCTTCACAAGGTTCGTCGCAGCACTGGAATAATAATGCTTCCTGTTCCTTCGAGCTACTTACTCTCTGCGCCACAGTGTTTGGCACGGCTCTGAGCCTTACTGCTCGCCTCTGCTTCACGGCACTCTCGCAGATTACTTGCCTCCTTCTCGACTCACCGCAGACTACAAGGCAATCTCCTGGCACTTTCACATTCGTCGGCAACGAGGCTGCACTATCGACCTTCGGTCTGAGCAGGGGGGTGATGTGGCGGCGCTGTCGTCGCGCCGCAAGCGAAACCCACCGAAGCCTAAATCACGCTATCAAATTTCCGAATCATAAACAGTATATTATATAAAACATCTCCGAACTATCACACGGAGTGTTGGCCGCTCCCCGGGCAGAACACACCTTGCCCGGCGGGAGATCTCCCCTTTTTCTTCCACGGCCACAAAAATAAATCTAAAATCAACCACACCAAATATTCGAGGCATCAACCTAAGTCCTCAAGGATGATAACGCATCTTCGTCAAATCAAAATTCGTAATCGGGGATAAATGTAGATGTCTTTGGGCCACAGCAACCACTTACCATCAGGTGGACTGTGTGCTCGTTTGTGATCCTATACTATAAAAAAAATATTCCAGACTTTGTCACCACACCATATTGTGTCAATAATTAATAATTATTATTGAAAGCCCAACGGATTAATGAGCTAACACTGAGCCAGCCATATTGCTCGACGAACTAACAACCTATTTGGAAGAAAGGTTCTTGAGTGTCAGCCTCGTACCGGTACGTGAAGTGTGGGGTAGCCCCTCACTAGATGGAGTAAGGACCTGGTAAGACAAGTAGGAAGTAGATGGATGCAGGGGGCTCAGGACTGTGCTTTTGCATTACTTAAGAGAGGCTTATCTTCAGCAGTGGATTTATGAAGGACTCTAATGATAATAATGTGATGTTGATAGTGATGAACGTAGTCCAGGTCATCTATGACATAGAACGTCAAACACCCCTTGACCATGGGTACTACAAAGTATCTGTGAGGCAATCTGCGATGGAGGTACATTCAACAGGGGACTACGACAGGTTGTAATGAATTAATGACGAAAATGAAAATATTTGTTTGTAAATTATACCTTTTGCCTGTAATTGTTTAACTGCATGTATGGCTGGAAACGCCTTACTATTTTCATTTATAACGAATTCTTCTTTACTTTTTGTAGAACCGTTGGAAGTCTCTTCGGGTATGACTTCATCAATTCTCTAAACAGGAAACTATTTAATATGTGATAACTTGAAGAAAAGAAGAAACCTTCTTCAAAATGAATGAGGCCTAGTCCAGCAGAGGACTTTCTGATGAACTCGAGAATGGGACTTGGGGACATTTTTATAGATTGCCATAATGATGATTAGGATTGTGTTAGTTAAAATTACTGCCTACACGTCCTACTGTTCGGTACCTACCTCGTTTCATTTCTGAGGGGTGTGGCGGCGCTGTCGTCGCGCCACAATCGAAATACACCGAAGTCTAAATCACGCTATCAACATTCCGAATCAGAAACGGTATATATAGAACATCTCCGAACTATCACACGGAGTGTCGGCCGCTCCCCGGGCAGAACACCTTGCCCGGCGGGAGATCTCCCCTTTTCCTACCACGGCCACAGTGGTGACCCCGACGTGATCTGAACACGCAACCAAACAACCTTCGGAAACTTCAAGCTTCATCATCGTCATAGCGGGGTCACCACTGTGGCCGTGAAAGGAAAAAGGGGAGATCTCCCGCCGGGCAAGGTGTTCTGCCCGGGGAGCGGCCAACACTCCATGTGATAGTTCGGAGATGTTCTATATATACCGTTTCTGATTCGGAATGTTGATAGCGTGATTTAGACTTCGGTGTATTTCGATTGTGGCGCGACGACAGCGCCGCCACAGGGGTTTTTAGATCAGGAAAATGTTTGCCACATCACTCCGATTGCGTGTTCGATTTTTTTTTAATTTCAAATATGTAGGTTTCCTCACTATGCTTTCCTTTACCCACATGTTAAATTAGTATTTAATATTGCAATGACCAATGTCGTTGGTACGGCGAACGCTTGAGTACTGAGCTATAAAAGCGTGGGTATTTTTTTATAGAAGAGGGACCAAACAAGAATGCGGCACACCTCATAGTTAGTGTGTAAGTGTGACCGTCGCGCATAAACAACTGCAACACTAGGGTAAATGCGAGTGCGTTTTTGGCCTTTTATAAGGAATAAGCTCGATTCTTAAAGGTATTGAGCAGAGAGTTATAATTAACTATTGTGAAACAGCAGAACAAATCTGTTTCGTTTCGTATGGTGGTACTCTGGGCTGAGGCTCCCCAGTACCAGCTCCTTCCACTTGACCGCATCCAGCGCAGAGCAGCTCGAATCGTCGACGACCGAGTGCTTTCCGATCGGCTCGATTCACTGGCGCTGCGAAGAGATGTTGCATCTCTTTGCATTTTTTTCGCATATACCATGGGGAGTGCTCTGAGGAATTGTTCGGATTAATCCCAGCCGCCAAATTTCGTGAACGCACTACGCTATACCATCCACACCATCTGGATGCTTGGCGGTCCACCACTGTACGTTTCAAAAGGAGTTTTTCCGCGTACAACCTCTCTGTTGAATAGTTTACCACCGGCGATTTTTCCGGACCGATACGACCCGGGGAGCTTCAAGAAAAGAGCTTACTCCTTTCTAAAGGGTCGGCAACGCACCCGCAATTCCCATGGTGTTGCGGTTGATCATGGACGGCGGTAGTCACTTAACATCAGGTGAGCCGCATGCTCGTATGCCCCCTCTTCTATAAAAAAAACTCATTCCATTTTTTATCCATATCCTCATGGGTAACTATGTCACTATTAGGGCAATAGCATCTATTTACCACCTGGTGGACTAGGAGCCCACTTGTTACCCTTATTCAACAAATAAAAACAACTATGAATACTTTTTTCAATTTTGTCCCTTACCGGATGATTAACTTCTTTCAAATGAGTTGTACTCGTACTGTTAATAATATTCCATAGATCTACGCATCTTTCTTGTACTTCATCTGTGTCTTCTGGGCGAGGACTGAAGTCTATCATAACATGCTGAGCATGTAGTGGCTCTCCACAAGCTTTACCAGGGTCCACTACAGGTGATGGAAGTAACTAAAAAGGAAATTAGTCAACAAATAATTTGAAAGAAAGAGACACAAAAAAATACTCACACGTTATTCCAGAAACCCCAATTAATTGTGTTTACATGAGCTCGGCGGCGGTCGTGAGGAAATCTGTATGTCTAATATTCATGAATATATATGAAAATATGAATATTTGTGAAATCCGCCAACATGCATGCATACTACGTGTGTGCAAGGTACGCGGCGGACATTTTTCTTGTCCTAATGTTCCCTCAGAAATGAGAAGAGGCCTGAACCTAGAAATGGGACGTATAATAAGCCGTAATTTTACTTGAACCTTTTGATCTAAGACTGACAAACGAGCACACAAGCCACCTGATGGTAAGTGTATCCGTGAGCCTTATAATTGGATGTACATATATATCGCAATAACGACACCCACGAGACTTTTGGCAAAAGAGGGAAACTGGCACAGGACATGGGCAGCAGCATCTCTCTGAAATTATTAAAAAAACTACGGGTGTCAACCCGCATGCCAACCATGGATGAGACAGTTTATGGGGGCACTATAATGCACCTTTACGTTATTTACATGCTCTTAATGCGGTCTAGAACTTCATAAACACTTACCACCTGGTAGGATTGTGGTCAAACACTAGCTTACTTTACATTTTGGATCGTGTACGTAGAAATAGCATGACTTAACTCATCCCTCTACCTACTATCATTGGACATTTGGACGCTCAGCCATACTCCAGCCTATTTGTTGCCGATATGCCACTCATTCGAACCAAATTGTTTGCTTAGTCGTCCGTAATTCCGTACAGTAATGGAGTGAAATAATTTACCAGTATCTGTTTTTCTATGAAATTAAAATGTGAGTGTTTTCAAGGTAAGAGTGAATAGGCTTTTCGGAATCGGAATTCAGAAGGATAGAATGATATTAGTCAAGTACTAGTTTATAATAGTTAAAACAATATACTTTATAGTTCTTACTTCAAATATTTTATTGGCAGGTTTATCAGAAAAATCGGTACGAGTGGAATCCGACGAAGACATCGTGTTACAACAAGAACAGCAGTAGAAGGAAACCGTAAATGTTAACCAATCTGATACTGCTCGAGCATTCCTCCAAAGGCTTACGAGTCTACAAGTAGCCGGTTGAAAAGTGTACGGGGTGAGAGGTATCATTAAACTTTAGTAATGTGCAAAATCAACATGATTTGTGAGTGACATTCAAAAATGACACAAAATGATAACCATAGATAATAATTAATACAAGAGTGTTAAAACATACTTTGTCCAAGGTTATATCCTAGGAAAAAGGTTAAATCGATTGTGTATTTGCCACGGAATTATAATATTTTGGTATTGGCACGTTGAGACGAGGCAGTATGAAGAAAATTTTAATCTTAGAACGTGATTATGCAACTATCTGTATACACACGTGATAGAGCCACGCTTTAGCTATATTATGGTTGTAGCACGAATGGGTTGGATGTGTCCTCACAGAATGCCACACAGCGTAAAACAGCAGCTTGACGCTGCTGTGTTTCATATCATGAGTGGATTCTCTACACCCACCCTTTTTAAATACCCTTTTGAATTAAAAATTTTAGTCAAAGGTCTTCAATAAAAGAACCTCATCCTTTTTAAAAGGCAAGCAACGTATCTGCAATCCCCCTGTTGTTGCAGCTGTTTGTGGGCGGCGGTAATCACTTACCATCAGGTGAGCCGTATGCTCGTTTGCTCTCCTATAAAAAAGGGGTACCCACGCATCTGCATTTTGATTAGTAATCATTAGGGCCCGGAATTATATGTAAATCCATATTTTGAATTGAAATGGTTTTTGTTCTTGAATAAATTTTCTACATAAATTATATTTTGATCAAGAAAATGCAATTATTCATATCCATATACAAGAAATAAAAAATTTATCCATAAGTAATGGACGGGAAAGAAAAGGAGACGAAAAACAAACGGAAACCAATGAAGAGGGAGAAAATCCGCAAAAACCTACAAGTTTTGTATCCAAAAATTATTCATGTGAAGTGCTTGGCTCATGGTATAAATAGATTAGCTGAATGAATAAGGTTTCAGTTTAAAAATGCTGACAGTTTAGTATCAAACGTAAAGAAAAAGTTTATGAAAGCAGCAAGCAGGATCTTAAAATTTAAAGAGATGTATCCCGACATTTCTTTACCGCTAGAGCCAGTGCTGAACCGCTGGGGAACTTGGCTGACAGCAAATGAATACTATGCCCAGTATTACACTGAAATCAAAAAGATTATTAATTTTGAATTGGAGAATAAAGCTGCTGATATTTCAATCTCAAAAGAACTTCTCCAAGATTACACTACGTAACTATTTGCTTTATATACATAAAAAGCAATTATTGCTATTTATCATACCATATGAAGACACTCAAAAATTCTTCCATTTCTCTAAATGATAATTTGAAGATTATCGAAAATATCGAAAAAAATTTTTTGAATCAGAAGGTCCCGTTGCTGAAGTAGCGAGGCAAAAATTACTCTACGTACTGAAAAAAAAAAACAAAGGATTTCATACCCTAAAGAAAATCAACAGCATGCTGTGTGGAACATTATAAGGCACCATAAATGAGCCCTACTCTCTTGCAGAATTATGCAAATTTAAATATGCTCCAATCACATCCTATGATGTTGAAAAATCATTCAGCCAGAATAAAGCATTATTTCGTCCAAACAGAAAGTTTTAATTTTGAAAATTTAAGGAAACACGTAATTATATACTGTAGTTCAAATAATAATGAAACATAAGCTAAGTAAAATTGTATTTTTTTGGTTTTTCTTAATAGGAAATCGTTTTAATGTACGTCGTTAATAAAAGATTATTACACATAATTATTTGTTCCATATTTTAGGATTTTAAGTCCATATTATATGTACATATTTTGATACTATATATACATATTAATCCGTGCCCTAGTAATCATTAAATGTAGATTATGTATAGGCCATCAGCACACACACTGCCACAGCATCCACTGGCTACCAGCACTATCTGATGGATTTTGTCCCGTTTTTCACCCTAATTCTCAAAAATAGGAGTATTTTGCGATTAAAGACGTGCGGTCATGACAAGTAATGTGAATACACAACGTGATAGGGTTTTTCGAATGTCAATTCCCCTGCGATTCGATTGTTTGTTCGCGTTTTCGTATCAATACGAGTAACACTTGTCGCGGTCTATGAATTAGAAAATAAGGAATTTCTCCTGTATCTCCTGTATGAAGGTAGACGTAGGAGGTGGGCAACAGCGTCTTCGTGATAACAACTCAGTAATAATAATAATAATAAAAGCTGCGGTTGTCAAAACCACCTGCTAAGCGTGGCAACTATGACAAATATCCCTTAAGCATAATACTCGTAACTGTTAGACAATTTATAGTTATGGTACTTAGGTTTTTTATTACGGTATATATAATACGGACTTATAGAAAGCCAGCGGCGTAGCATGTTTCGCTGCCGCCCATGGATTGAACCAAAGTTGCCGTCCTTCCAAACTAAGCTAACTCCGTCCTTAAGCTACTAATGAATTTGAAGACCAAATTCGAAATATTATCGTCGTACTGTTTTCAATGGCGACTATTTAGTCATTCATACATTTCCAATTGTAGAAGACAAATCTACTGAATGAAATCTTCCCTTTGCATTTCTCACAAAAAGTTATTGCCTAAATTTTTATGGCGTCGTTTGATTTCTGCTTTAGCTAGAAGTTAATTAAATACTGTATACAATTCACATACTTTTTTATGAAAAAAATATCTCATCTGTATCTATGGCATTTTTATGTTATTATTAAGTATGTGTTATTAAGTACTCAAGCATGTACTGGAGCAGTACGAAGAAATATTTACCCTATAACCCTTTCAGAAATGTTAGACCAGTGTCCAGTATTACGACATATTTAGGCAGTAACTTTACTGAGCTGGACAATGGTACGAGTCTCTCCTACTGGCCTTAATTCTAATGAAATTCATATTTTATGACAACACTATGCAGGCTGATTCCGCAGTAGTTTTTAACAATACTGTCGCAACCCTTTGCTCTTAAACAATGGGACTAAAAAAGTTTTGCACCAAAATACCGGTACCAGATTAAGTTCCCAGCACAAATGAAAGAAAGTGTAGCATAGCATTTGTAATAATACTCTATTATACTCTTACTTGGTTTTCATTATTTTATTCATACTTATCTTGCCGTGCTAGCTTAGGGACGCCAGCTGTAAATTTCACAATACACAAGCAACCCGGGTTCATCGCCCACTAATAAATTCGAATCGAATATTAAATGCAGTCTTACCACGTGCTCAGCGGTGAAGGAAAACATCGTGAGGAAATCTGCATGTCTGAGAAATGAAAAAATATTACTCATACCAAGCATTTCTCATACCAAATTAATAAATCATTATTCCAATCATTACAGCTTTTCAAATGCCTACTGCTGAACATATGCTTCTCCCATAGATTGCTTCATAGTAGGATATGGTGTGGCAGCATCGTTTCCGAGACACCTGAGATTTTGAGTGAGATTGAGAGGTACTATGGGCAGCTGTACACATCATCGTTAGAGCCACACGCAAGTGTGAGTAACGATCCAAGAGCAAGTCTTATCCGACACTATTCCGATGATATCCCGGACGTCAGTCTGAGCGAGATTAGAATGGCTCTCCAGCACCTTAAAAACGGCAGGGCCCCAGGCGAGGATGGAATTACAGCGGAGCTTCTGAAAGCGGGTGGAACACCGGTACTTGAAGTCCTTCAGAAGCTCTTCAATTCCGTCCTCCATGGTGGCACTACTCCAGAGGCGTGGAGCAGAAGTGCAGTGGTCTTGTTCTTTAAGAAAGGCGACAACACTCTCTGGAAGAACTACAGACCGATTTCCCTTCTGAGCCGCGTCTACGTGCTGTTTTCGAGAGTCATTACGAATCGTCTCGCACGCAGACTCGACGACTTCCAGCCTCCCGAACAAGCCGGTTTCCGAAAAGGCTTCAGTACCATAGACCACATACATACCCTGCGGCAGATTGTACAGAAGACTGAAGAGTACAATTTGCCACTTTGCCTGGCGTATGTGGACTATGAGAAAGCCTTTGATTCCGTCGAAATTTGGGCGGTGCTGCAGTCCCTTCAGCGGTGTCAAGTTGACTGTCGGTATATCGAAGTGCTGAAGTGTTTGTACAGTAGAGCTACGATGGCTATCCGAGTACAGAACCAGAGCTCGAAACCTATCCAACTGCAGAGAGGTGTAAGACAGGGTGACGTTATATCCCCGAAACTCTTCACCGCTGCTTTGGAAGACGTTTTCAAGCTACTGGACTGGAAAGGATACGGTATTAACATCAATGGCGAGTACATCACTCACCTTCGATTTGCCGACGATATAGTCCTTATGGCAGAGTCGCTGTAGGACTTAAGCACTATGCTCAATGACCTCAATAGTGCCTCCCAACGGATAGGTCTTAAGATGAACATGGACAAAACAAAGATCATGTTTAATGTCCATGTCACACCTATGCCGGTAGTTGTTGGGAGCCCTATGCTCGAAGTTGTTGACGAGTACGTTTACCTGGGACAAATAGTCCGACTAGGTAAGTCCAACTTCGACCGAGAGGTCAATCGACGGATTCAACTCGGCTGGGCAGCGTTCGGGAAATTACGACACATCTTCTCGTCAGGTATACCTCAATCTCTGAAAACTAAAGTGTACAACCAGTGCGTGTTGCCAGTGATGACTTACGGATCAGAGACGTGGTCCTTCACTGCTGGCCGTATGAGGACGCTCAAGATCGCTATGCGAGCTATGGAGAGGGCTATGCTCGGAGTTTCTCTGCGTGATAGACTCAGAAATGAGGATATCCGCAGTAAAACCAGAGTGACCGACATAGCCCAACGGATTAGTAAGCTGAAGTGGCAATGGGCCGGCCATATAGCTCGAAGAACCGATAACCGATGGGGAAGAAAGGTTCTCGAGTGGCAGCCTCGTACCGGTAGGCGTAGTGTAGGGCGACCCCCCACTAGATGGAGTGACGACCTGGTAAGATATGCAGGAAGTCGATGGATGCAGGTGGCTCAGGACCGTGCTTTGTGACATTACTTGGGGGAGGCCTATGTTCAGCAGTGGACTTGTGAAGGGCTGTGATGATGATGATGATGACGAAGGATATGGTAGTATTTTCTTTTTTTTATAGGATTAGGGTGACAAACGAGCACACAGTCCACCTGATGGTAAGTGGATGCTTCTACATTTAACCACACTTAAGAAACAAAATGCAGATACGTTGTCACCCTTGAGGATTAAGATGGAATGCCTCGATTCCAGTAAAATGGGTCTCCGGATCTCTACACTCGCCATACGAAACACAGCAGCATTAACCTGCTATTTTACATTGATATTCTGTGAGAGTGTGGTCCTTCCCCGGTCGAGCTGACCCATTCATGCTACAACCATAATAGCTGCAGTGTAGCTTTACCGCATTTGTTTCCTTTGTTTCCGTTTCACTTGATAGGAATGTTGGCCACCACATATCTATATTATTTTAAGTTGTAACGAGAAAGATGCTCTTGTCCTTCTGTTTTTTCCCTCTTACGGCAGCCATGAGATAATATAGCATAGCGGTTTCTCTTTGTGGGTTGAAACTACACACTTAACATATGTGTATTTAAAGGAAACACTGAATTAAGTGGGACAGAAACAATATATACAAATAATTAAAATTGAAGTGTCTGTTTGTAATGTCATAATAACAATTACGCAGTACATATACAGTACAATTTTTAAAATTTTTGTCTGTCTGTCTGGCGGCTAAACTCCGAAACAGCTGGATCGATTTTGACTGGACTTTCATAGATAGCTAATGTTATAAGGAGTAACTTAGGCCACTTTTATTTTAAAAATAATTAGGGTTCTGCGCAAAAAAAACTAGTGATTAAGAAGAATAATAATAGATAATATATAATATTCTGTGCGAACAAAATCACAGGCACAACTAGGTACAGATACAATTAATGTAATATTTCAAAAAATTATATTTATCAAAGTAACATAAAAAACAATCATAGTTAACACTATAATTCCAAGTATTCACAAAAGCAGAGAACATGGTGGTGGAAAATTATAAATAATTGAACATGATTAAAACAAGTGAAATTTTAAAGTCTGTGCATATTTTTAATAAAAAATCAATATACCTCATGTTTTTTTTTTATTCTTACATTGGCATCTGATTCTGAGCTATATTCAAAATCTCGTGCTCATCAGTAAGTTACTTTAAAATCAAACTGAATAGACGTAAACGAAAACGGTCAAAACTTTACTAATTAAAAAAAAATAAAAAATTTGATTTATTATTAATTATCCATATTCACATAAAAAGATATGGTGGCTTTCGGTGGGACATTAAGAAGAAAATTTATTTAAAAAAATATCTTCTATATATTATTAGACTTAATGTTAGATTTATATTAAGTTTAAAATTCTATCGGCCAATGCTTACAGCGTTTCTATGCAACTACAAGTATCGTACTCAATACACAGCCAACTTAACTATAACATTATAATGAGAGCTTGTTATATACATCTTTAATATATAAAAATTAATGTTTGTTCATATTTTATGCGCTGCCATACCATTCATGAGATTACGGTACAACTTTGTCAACTTATTGCTTGCACTTATGAGAAGGTTATAGGCATAGTACAATTAGCTTACAGTAGGTGGCCCTTGTATCGTACTGACAAATTTATTTGAAAGTTATATATCATTCAACTTCAATGAATGAATGAATGATCATTACTTATTAAACTATATAACTCTTTCAAATTTAGAACAATATTTCCACAATTATATCTACTGCTTCAGCAATGTCGTGTACCAGCTAGTAGTATATATATATCTCTTCTTCGAAATGATTGAGAATGATTTAGAATGTATACAATTGCAGATAAAAGATATTTAAATTAGTTTTTTTATAATTCTCAAATCATTTAAAGGATACAAAGAATTTTGTGTATGATTAACACTAACTGGAGTTACAACCTGGTAAGACATGCAGCAAGTGGATGAATTTGATAATTGGGGGGCCTATGTTCAGCAGTAGGCTTATGTTGTAATAATGATGAAGATTAACAATATAGAAATTAACTTACATCTTACAATTCTTTACAATAAACATTACCAGATATGTTTCTAAGCACTTGTTATTACCTAAAGCCAGTCACAGCCTGGTATGCCATTTCTTATAACATAGTGAGACATGTTATTTCAGCTGCAAAATAATTTATTCAGAGGTAATGATTACAAAACTTAAAAAACTCTAAAAATGCAGTATGGGCGTACAAGAAAATCAAGCATCGGCAAAACTACAAAGTAGGGAAAGGTAATAAAGCTACCATACCACTCCCTTTGGCTGCGATGGATTTATCCAACTACACCTTCATTATAAATAACATCATGATTATTCATGTGTTTATTAAAATGGGATTCTGTAATAACTAAATCTCCAAAGGTATGTAAAATTAACATATCAATTTTTCATATAATTTGTCATGGCTACATGAAGAAGTAGGGTGCCACTTAGGTTTAGCTTGCTATGAGATGCAGCCGATAGCAGTTGGATACAAAACATACAAACAAATACCTACCAATTTATTTGCTTGAAAAATAATAACTATAAACTGTATAATAAATGACATAAATATATATTATTGATATCATTTATTATACAGTTTTATCATAAATCATTAAACTTATAAAGCTTATAATTAATATGAACTAGTGAATGTTTACTAGCTTTTGTTATAAAATGCCTACATAGATTCTAATTCTTTAATAGTATAATTTAAAATCTTATCAAAACCTTGATAGTGGAAACGTCCATAAAATAGTTTACCCTGCAACATATATGGAAACCAGAAACTATCATCTGGCCACATGTCATAAAATGGTATCTTATCACAGTCAAACCACTTTGGAATCATTTCCTCAGTTTCTGTTGGTGTTCCTTCAAAAATACTGGACGAGAAGACTCTTACATCCATCATCGTAGAATCACCTTCGAATGTAAATTCTAAATGACCAATGTGCTTTATATCGGTTGTTTTGACAGTCAAACAAGATTCCTCTCTCAATTCACGAACCGCTGCTTCAATAACGGATTCGTTGGGCTCTATTTTACCACCGAACCCATTCCATTTATTTTGACCGAAACCTCGCTTTTTTAACCCTAAAAGTATTTGACTATCATGCCGTATAAAAATCAGGGTAAATAATTTTTTCTGAAACATTTTAGAAGTATAATAATAAACTGTTGGGGTTTTTTACTTTCAGTTTTGTATTTTTATGTTTACGATAATATTGATCCGTATATATTACTCTACTCTATGATATTGATGCAAGAATGCAAGATACTATTTTTTAATAGACAAAACTTAAAATTTCTTTCATTGTTTAATTGTTTGTAACTTGCTACTTGGTCTCTTCCAGGTTCTAATACCTACTTGGTCAACTCAATTGTCAATGTCAAAAAGTGCGCTCTTTTTGCGATGCGTTTGAAAATTTGTCAACTATGGAGTGTAGAAGTAAGGAGTACCAACCAGTACCAACTCCCATAGTAGAATAGTTGAAAAAGTGGCCAACTATAAGCAGTAAATAACAGTTCAAAAACTCTCCACAACAGCGCTGGAGCTGCTACTGGGATGCCAAGAAAGCGAAATGAACTTAGCAGTTGCCGACGGTTTAAGTGTGCTGCTAAACTGGTCAGTAGCTCTAAAATCTAAAATAATTTTATTTAGTAAATCTAACCTCGAAAAAGTCGTCTATCCCACTAATATTTTTCGGTGCGTTCTTTAAAATTTACCTCGTAGTTATAATGGCGCCACCCTTATTAAACGGTTTTCTATGGACACTTTTTAATACACAGTCTGTACTCCTTACTTCTACCAGGCCTCTATCACTCTTGCTACCTAGGTGAAATAATTACCTAAAATCGCGACGCAGTCAGAGCTAGCGCGTTGGAGGCGATTGAATGTTAAAGTTTTTTAACGCTGTTTACGTATATAACTTATTGTAATTATTATTGAAATAGTTTTTGTTTAGTGTTTAGTATATTTAATTATAGGATAAAGTAGTTCAAAAGTTTTAATGTAATTTAAGAACTATATATTATGTATATTACCCATTATTTAATAAATTTTAATATGGCAAAACGTCGTTCCTACTATAATTGTTGCGTGGATAGACGCTAAATGACCAACAAAATATTTCAGATATATCATTCTTTATTACCGAAGGATTTTAATAGGAAGTTATGAAACGTGAATTTATAATTTTTTATTGTTAGATAGGTACTTATAGCAAAAAAGAATTAAGTAATAAATTATTTAATATCTACGAACTTTATTACAAAATTTAGTGAAAATTTACTTCACTATCCAAATATTTACTTACGTATATATACTTGCCTTTTGTATTAAAATATTTTAAGGTGTTATTTTAGCTTAAAATATTTTAAGCTAAAATAATACAAAACACTGAAATCAAAACTTTGTTTACCAACAAAAATTTTAACTAAGTAGAATACGATTACATTTCTGTTAGGAATCGTATTTCAAGTTTATTTGTTGTTTACACTATCTACCTTTTCCTTCTGAGCCAAGCGTCGCGATTCCCGACTACTAAAGCTGTAGCAAACCGTATGTATTCGGTACTGAGTAACGGGTGCGCCATCAGGTACCGAGTAACGAAACGTTGCACACGAACGCATTTGGTTACTCGCATTTTTCGTAGTATGGGCACCTACACTGTTTCAATTCACGCAAGTACCGTTGATGCGTGTATTGAAACATTTGCTTATTCGGTGAATTTAAAAACGTACTTTACAAAGAGCGATGTTTTTTTATTATGTAAAGTACAATTTGGAAATTCGTCGTCCAATTCTTTTTAATATTTTGTGTGTAAAGATTTGTGTGTGAAGACAAAATTTGAGATTGGAACAGAAACAAGGTAAGAAAGTATTTTAAGTATGTTTTCTACAAATTATGAATGTGTTGCAACGCCGCGAAGTCGTACTGTACGCGTACGCAATACGACTTGATTCGATGCTCTAACGTAACAACGGTATCAGAAGTAACGAGTAACGTAACGATATGAAAGTAACGTGTACTAATTGTTATAGTAACGAATACATACGGGTACGTATTTTTCGTTACATTTACACCTCTACCGACTACTAGTCGTTCACTTCAAGAATACCGTTACCTCCCGCCGCGCCCCCTCATTCCGCGCCTCAAGCGTCGCCCTTTTAGTACCGATAGCAACGTCGAAGTGTACTTACGTCCGTTTTTTATGCTCCCGTACGTTCTCTAGTTTGTTACTGTTTTTGCTGTTGTTTTTGTTACTGTTGATTTTTTTGTTTTTGTTTCTGTTGATATTCGTTAATTTGTTCTGTTACAATGAAAAACCTTTAATTTGATATATTTAAAATGTAAAATAAAACTATAAAAAATATTTTATTTTATCGAACACGTTATTATTTCATCATCATCATCATTCAAAAATATTTTATTTCATCGAACACGTTATTATTTAACTTTATTGAAAATATGAATACTAAAAAACATAAACATGATGACTTTTTTCGTCTACGGTACCGTCAGCTGTGACGTCGTCGTCCGTTTTTTATGCTCCCGTACGTTCTCTAGTTTGTTACTGTTTTTGCTGTTGTTTTTGTTACTGTTGATTTTTTGTTTTTGTTTCTGTTGATATTCGTTAATTTGTTCTGTTACAATGAAAAACCTTTAATTTGATATATTTAAAATGTAAAATAAAACTATAAAAAATATTTTATTTTATCGAACACGTTATTATTTCATCATCATCATCATTCAAAAATATTTTATTTCATCGAACACGTTATTATTTAACTTTATTGAAAATATGAATACTAAAAAACATAAACATGATGACTTTTTTCGTCTACGGTACCGTCAGCTGTGACGTCGTAACGGTCTACGACGGCAAACTCGAAATGAACGCGTAGTAATGGCCTTGCAAGGAATTCACGTAGGTGCGAAAATATGGTCGGTCGATCATAGTCAGAATAGGTATTTCACCTAAGTAATCTGATTAATATTTCACAATGTATTTTGTTACTCTTTATTGACATCCCTCCATAACAACAGAAAGTCCACCGTAACGTAGGAAGAGTGAAATGTGCAAAGTAATACGGACACTCTCGCGCAGCGATAAAGTTTTATTTAGGTTGCGAGCGCGATTTATCTAATTATTAATAATTATGTAAGCTGTTAAACGTCGGCAAGCAGTCAACATTAAAAGAGTGAAACTTCTGTACATAGTACTATTATTTATTCTGTGCTTCTACACTCCATATTGTGAATGTTTGTAGAGTGTATTATAAAATCACTAAGTAAAGAAGAGTATACAATCACTACGTTTTAGTGGATGGATAAAGTAAGTAATGCTTTAAAATTCTTGATATTAGTCATAAATCATTATAACTCCTGGCGCCGATATTAGTCCTTAAATTGTAAATGCGATAAGAACTCGCCATCACAGAAAAAATCTCAATTTTAATTAGTATTATTAAATTAATAATAAATCCTGCTTAAATAGTCGTTTTAAACAAATTTTATCAAAAAGCATTTAACATAATCTTTAAAAAATCATAACCTAGTGTTGCCAGTTATGTAAAAACATGCTGCTGGGTGCAGGGTGCTGGTGGCTAGTTTTGCACGTTTCCATCTGACGTTGACTTAAAAAAATATGGATTGAGTTCTTTGAGTATTAAACCAAAGGATCGAGAGATCGAGAAAGCATCGCAAGGCAGACTGCTCTGTAAAGGGTACGAGAGTCCGACTCATAACCGTTACATAAAACTAGTTGTTTCGCGTCGTGCGCCATTACGCAAGCGAACGTGCTGGTGGATTGAGCTCCGAAATGCTTTTTATAGGGGAGGGGGCAAACGAGCATACGGCTCACCTGATAGTAAGTGATTACCGCCGTCCGTGAACAACTGCAACGCCAGACGAATAGCAGCTGCGTTGCCGGCCTTTTTAAAAGGAATAGACTCTTTTCTTGAAGGTCCCTAAGTCATATCGGTCCGAAAAAATCTCTGGTGGTAATCAAGTCCACAAGGAACCTATGCGAGGAAGAAAACTTATTTTATCGAAAATGGCCTTTTCTCCTTTATAAGGAGTTTTAATTACGGATGATGTAATATTAGACCTTTTGATGGACGGAGACTACCGGAGAATAAAGATTTTGACGAGGACGACTTGGAATTTGAACCAAATACCCTATGTGATCAATTGACTTGCGAATGAAGATGAAGAAATAAATTACCAAACATCACTATCGATATATTCTCCGGTGGAGCAACCTACATCTAAATCGATGCCGCAACCTTCTGCTACATTATTGATGAAACATCCTCCTCCACCGATTTCGCAGTCTCCATCAACAATGCAACCATCTTGATCATCATTATCATCCACGTCGCGTCGTTATCGAGAAAAATCGGTATTTTTATCCCCTGAGCGATCAAGATCAACCACCAGTACTTGAGGAAGATAATCGGTGTCTACACCATTTTCTCGAGAGAAAAGATCAGCATCAACACCAAGTTGTGTAAAAGGATATAGAAGCATGTTCAATTTGCAGATGATCTGCATAACTATCTTCCCTTGCTTACAAAAGCAGTAAGGCGTCCATCGACTACTTTAGTGAATAAATAGATAACGAATTTATAGAAAGGTCAATTCTCTGTACTAACTTATATTACTTACGTTCTACGGGCCATGAATGGAGAAGATAACCATTTTTTGTTTTATATGCCAAAAAATTCTACAAAAAAATTACGGGAATAACTGTGTTTTTAATTTTTTTCTATCTTCAAAACTGACCGAGATATAAAAGTGCGAGCGACCCGACGCGCACTTAGGAAATCAAAACATTTACTCAAATGTGCCCGTCGTTCGCGGATCTACTTGCTATCTATTCTCTATATCCATCTATTAAATATTGTGCTGTGCCTCAATGTAAAATACGGCCACAAAAACACCTGAAAAGTTGTTTTTTAATGTGCCTAGAACTAGAAACCCTACCATCAGAAAAAAATGGACAAATGCTATGAGAAGAGCACATATTTAGGACCAAACACGGTAGCATATTGTTGTGAGGATCATTTCGATGTAAGTATTCAAATAGTAATAACCTTCACATGATAGCTCTTGGTTATTGCTAGTAAATGCTTTCTATTAGGCATGTA